GAACGCAACGCGCCGCACGCTCGGGTCTGGTTCTGGTCGGGCGGCGAGCTACCCATGCTCGTCGTCCGCAGGCCGGAGATCGTCCCGCGATCACCGACACCCGGAGTGTCCTTCGCGACGGTTGGGCTGTGAGGATGCAGCGCTTCGCAGCCTCACGCGCCCCGCCACTTCCTTAGCTAGCATGACTGCTTCGCAAAAGAAGAAGACGGCATCCCAGTCCTCCTCCCTCCTCATCATGATGCGAAAGTCCGTATGATAGGTTTAGTGGGTTTAGTGTGAAGCACTATAAAAACTAATTACTCAACGCGGTTTTACTCCCTCTGCTCGGTTCGTATTAATCGTAGCGTGATGTTTTATAGACTGTCGGCTCATTTGTCTGTCTAATACAAAAAGAATTATTAAATGTGAACCAATAGTTCCGGAGATCACCACGTTCGAACAAATGAACTCTTCAGGTATGTATATACATATAACACAAAAAGAAGTGTAAGATAACATAACATAACACCACGCCTTTTATCCCCGAAGGTGTAGGCAGAGGTGTACATTATACCACTGTATAATGTAACACCCACTTTTTCACTATTTATCAGAGTCCCATGTAATAGGAGGTGAGCCTATTGCCATACACCGGGCACAATTCCAGACTCCGTGCTACTACTGTGAAAAACGCAGTAATACTTTGCCCGACCCGGGAATCGAACCCGAGACCCCTTGCCCGGCAGTCGCACTTGCGACCACTCGGCCAATGAGGCTTGACTAGCGTAAGATTATTTAAATAAATAAATATTCTACACAGACAACGCCACGGTTGAATAGCTAGTATTTTACTAGGAAGTAAACGATCTAGGGATTCCCATGCTAATAGAAATAATGAGGTATCTGTCACAAAGTACTGGCATTGATCTCTCACCTCTATTCTATAGAACTATTTATAAGGCTGTACTTGTAGCGTAGCGGGGCGATGAGCGACGCGATTTTATTAGCAACTAGATTTTGCCAGCGGCTTTGCCCGCCGACAATTTTTTGGTTCGGTGTCTATGTAGTACTATTTATATTTTTAGTGTATTTAATGTACAGAATTTACAGTTATATTATATGTATAGATAAATTAAGAATTTTAACAGACTTCAAAAACAAGAATGATGTTGTCACATTCACCTTTTGGTTTGTATGTTTGTATGTGGGAGCTAAAACGTCATTTCTACGTACAAAATGTATATAGAAGTGACGTTACGCGAGATTTCAAATCAATATATCGTCGAAAGTATTCGTTTTTGTAAGAAAGTAAAAAATACGTGTCTAATGATTTAAAATAATCTACCAGACGGACATTAAAATAAAAATTAGACATCTACCCTATTGTAATTATGTTGCGAAAATTACGTGCTAAATGCGTACTCCACCTGAATGACCCTGCCTACCCACTGTCGACAAACAATAACACAATTACATTGTCACTAAGTACAATAATGCCACTAATTGCTAGGGGTTAAGCAGTCAAGGGAATTACTAGTACGACTTAGTACTTTGTACTGAATTGTCAATACAAGGTAGTATGTAAACAACTTATTAAATACGTCACGACTTTTAGGGTAAGTAACATAACATAACATAACATAACATCACGCCTTTTATCCTCAAAGGGGTAGGCAGAGGTGCACATTATACCACTGTACAATGTAACACCCACTTTTCACTATTTATGTTATGAGTCCCATGTAATAGGGGGTGAGCCTATTGCCATATACCGGGCACAGTTCCAGACTCCGTGCTACTACTGAGAATTTTTTAAAACCCAGTAATACTTTGCCCGGGAATCGAACCCGAGACCCCTTGCTCGGCAGTCGCAATTGCGACCACTCGGCCAACGAGGCAGTCAGGGTAAGTATAAATGAAAAAGTATAAAAATGTTTGAAAATAAATAAGCTTTAATATACTACAATATGATGACAATATGAAACACTATGACTTTTTTGAGACAAACCCTATTTAAACCAAAATATATTTAAACCTTAAACTGTCAAACACCAAGCGGTCACCGGTGACCGCAACCAGACACAATTAAAGAACAATAGTTCTTTAATTAAAGAACAATAGTTCTTTAATTGTGTCTATAAATACGGTACTCGACGAGTTAATCTAGTAATATAAGTATATCACTAAACTTGGTCCGTTTTATAACTATATCCCTAGTGAGATAGTACGTAATGAATCGCTTTCGTATAACTATGTCCCGGTATCTGATTATATCCCTAGGGATATAACTATATTACGGCTTTATCTATCTTACTGCGACATATACATGGCGCGATTTTCTCCCGCGCCGGCCGCGGTTACGCCCGCATCTTTTGTGGAATACAGATATTGGGTCGCTCAATTCCCTGCAATATGGTTGAGTTGGGCGGTGCTGGTGTACGTGTCATGTTCGTAAACGGACGCCGTCATCTGGAACTGGTCAGCTCCAGGCTGCATTATTTATTGTCTTTAAGGTTATTTTCTTTTTCTCTTTCGATCTCTTTGACTGGATTTTGGTGGTACATTGTTCTCGCACAATCGAGACAATAAAACTATGTAACTGGAGAATTGTATTGTGAACCTGATTGGAAAAGACTATGTAGTTTCTCGCTCGTTCTTCTCCATAGGAATCTACACCTTGGAATGAGCAAATAGCTTCACTTTAAATTTTTGTTGTTAACACTCAAAAGTGCCTTCCTGGTCTAATTGAAATAAATGGTTTTGACTTTGACTTTGACTTTGACTTTGATATGTAAGTAAAAAATCATAAAAACAATTTTCGGCGCGTTTGCATCGGCGAGCGCGGCCGTAGTCCCGGCAACGGCAAATAAAATGGAACTGCTACTCACAATAGACACACTAGATTCTCATACAACTAATCTATTCTATTTACCTACCCATCACGCTACAAACAATGCCGTAAGAAACACGTGCAGGAGTACTTAAAACGTGTCTACGTAAACACAGACCAGTATATAATTAATCAAAACGGTTATATGCAGGTAAATCACCCAACGATACATAGTCCAAGTCATAAGATAATGCATAAACAGCAGCTCATGTAGTGTAGATGTCCAGTCAACAAGGATGTAGCGAGGTTAACTGTCCAGGCGACACACATACTTAGGTATCGTCATGAGCTAATGTCCACATGTAAACAGCAGCTCATGTAGTGTAGATGTCCAGTCAACAAGGATGTAGCGAGGTTAACTGTCCAGGCGACACACGTACTTAGGTATCGTCATGAGCTAATGTTCACATGTAAACAGCAGCTCATGTAGTGTAGATGTCCAGTCAACAAGGACGTAGCGAGGTTGACTGTCCAGGCGACACACGTACTTAGGTATCGTCATGAGCTAATGTTCATGTGTAAACAGCAGCTCATGTAGTGTAGATGTCCAGTCAACAAGGATGTAGCGAGGTTGACTGTCCAGGCGACACACGTACTTAGGTATCGTCACGAGCTAATGTTCACATGTAAACAGCAGCTCATGTAGTGTAGATGTCCAGTCAACAAGGATGTAGCGAGGTTGACTGTCCAGGCGACACACGTACTTAGGTATCGTCATGAGCTAATGTTCACATGTAAACAGCAGCTCATGTAGTGTAGATGTCCAGTCAACATGGATGTAGCGAGGTTGACTGTCCAGGCGACACACGTACTTATCGCTATAAGTTTGTAACTTGTAGTATACACAAGTAATTTGTCATTTCCTTCTTAAAATGATTACACATTAATATACAAGACTCATGCAAAGGGTTTAAGCATGTCACTGGTAAAACAAAGCCTTGACCGATTCTCAGATTCTAACTAATATTATTATAATTCGAAAGTCAGTTTGTCTCTGTATCTACTCAGCAATCTTTTTGACATTTTGTGTACATCATAGTTGGAAGCATGGAGAAGGATGGGATAGGATAGGAAATTCAAACAAGCAACGCTGTAGGTAAATGCTAGTTGAAATATAAGTTCAAAGTTTTAGAACGTGTGCCTACATAGTTGCAGTTTTACTTAGATTAAAAATTGACAATATAAGATGACACTATTATGGGATTATTACAGAATGATTACCGGACGATTTTGGAATGATTACAGCACGATTTCGGTATGATTAATGGACGATTTCGATATGTTTTGAACATAATTTCGGGATGACTTTTAGAGGACTACAGGGTGATTATAGATAGACCAGTTACGGGGTCAGTATAATCACAGATATTTCTCTTTGAAAGATAATAAAACTTGTCAATAGATAACCTAACTAATGTAATTTTGAAAATATTAGACTTTGACATTAAATATTTGTTTGTGTTGTTACAGGTCGACTGACAGTGGTGATGTTCAGTATATGTACAGTGGTACTAGGAATCATACTATCATTTGTACCCTGGTTGGATTACATTATATTTAGGGTGAGTACTCTGTCCTACTATTAATCTTATAATGTGTATAATAGAAATGCACAACTACGACACGGTAAATTTTATTTGTTATGGTATAAGCTGCTAAACTATCAGATGGATTACCTGATGGTAAGCAATCGGCGCTGCCCATGGACACGCCCAACAACAGAGGCGTTACAAGTGTGTTACCTGTCTTTTGAAGATTAAAAATTAGGATCGCCTCGTTGGCCGAGTGGTCGCAAATGCGACTGCCGGACAAGGGGTCTCGGGTTCGATTCCAGGGTCGGGCAAAGTATTACTGGGTTTTTAAAAAATTCTCAGTAGTAGCACGGAGTCTGGAAATGTGCCCGGGATATGGTAATAGGCTCACCCCCTATTACATGGGACTCATAACATAAATAGTGAAAAGTGGGTGTTACATTATACAATGGTATAATGCCTACCGCTTCGGGGATAAGAGGCGTGATGTTATGTTATGTTATAAGAAAAATGTGATGAATTAAATTAATGGATTGAAAGATGATGTAGTGACAAGGATTGAAAAGGGAATGTTACGCTGGTTTGGACATGTAGAAAGGATGGATGAAAGTAGAGTAACGAAGGAAGTATACAGAGCGGATATAAATGGCGCCCTAGACGGACATATAGTGACCAGATTGGCGATATATTAAAGAAGGACCAAATTAAAAGTACCCTTAACCGACGAGCATGCATGAAAAGATTGATGACTGTTGATGAAGCGAAAGAGGTATGTAAGAATCGTAGTAATTGGCGTTCCTTAGTCTCTGCCTACCCCCATGGGAGACAGGCGTGAAGTTATGTATGTATGTTAAATTAATGTGTTTTTTTTATTACAGGAATTGAGACTATGGAACGGCTCTCTAAGCTACAGCTACTGGCACAAACCTGGCGTGATCAGGCTAACGAAGGTCTACATCTTCAACGTAACTAACCCTCAGGGGTTCCTGGAGAACGGAGAGAAACCGAAGCTGGTGGAAGTCGGGCCTTTTGTTTATAGGTGAGTATTGATCGGTTTATCATCATCATCATCAGCCTGTATTCGTCCACTGCTGGACATAGGCCTCTCCTATGGCACGCCACTGAGCTCGGTCTTCAGCTCTTCTCATCCAACCACTGCCAGCCACCTTGCAGATGTCGTCACTCCACCAAGCTGGAGGTCGTCCTACACTGCGTTTGCCCAGACGCGGTCTCCACTCTAGAACACGTTTACCCTAACGGTTATCCGTTCTTCGACAAATGTGACCGGCCCACTGCCACTTCAGCTTACTGGTCCTTTGGGCTATGTCGGTGGATCGGTTTATTATACCTTTGAAAACCACCTCCTTCCTACTCCTGCTATTTGAACCGGAGCCTTATCCTTTACGTGGACCCGTATCGTACACACTGGGCCCCATCTGTGGTGGTCTGATGGCTCTTTGGGGCACGCGCGGAACGCAACGCGCCTTACGCGTGGATCTGGGAGCTTACTCTTGAATCCAATTCCGATCGATCGTCATTGATATTGTGAAATTTCCTACTCTTGAGTTGTAACACTAGCGCCCATTGCATCCGTATTGCGTGGATATTGAATGAACTAAATGGTATTGAGTTTGGCTTTATATTCCGTACTCTGAATGCTATTTTAACAGCTACGATAGGAGTTGTATAGTTTTGACATTGAATAATTATTGAGTTTTCAATGGATTGCAATTGCATTGACATTGAGATTGGTTTCAAGAGTAAGCACCCTGGTTCTGGTCGGGCGGCGAGCTACCCTCGCTCACTGTCGCTCGGCGTCCGCAGTCCCGCAGTTACGGTGGCCGGAGATCATCGCGCGATCTCCGACGCTCCAAGTATCTCTTATTATACCTTTAAGGTTATGATGATGCTACAACCCGTCTGATGGAAAATGAGTCGCCTGGATCCGTGGCCCATATAAAACTTTGAATTTTACTTAGATTTCTAACTCAGAAACTGCCTTGTTGGCCGAGTGGTCGCAATGCCACTACCGGGAAAGGAGTCTCGGGTTCGATTCCCGGGTCAGGCAAAGTATTAAAGGGTTTTTAAAAAATTCTTATTAGTTGTAAGGTGTCTGGAATTGTGCCCAGTATATGGCAATAGGCTCACCACCTATTACATGGGACTCATAACATAAATAGTGAAAAGTGGGTGTTACATTGTACAGTGGCATTATGTGCCTATCCCTTCGAGGATAAAAGCGTTGTTATTATGTTCTAACTCGGAAAAAGTTACATTGGTACTTACCGTTGCTGTCGTAACCGCACCCTTATGTATGAGAAGCGGCCGTCTTAAACCTTCGGACCACCAAGACATAACAACAAAAACGCAAAGAAGGATAAAAAAAATAAGATTCTCATTTGTGTTGTGTTTGGTGTTTTCGTCGATTGTTCGAAAACTCTTTTTATTTTTAACCTTAGGACATCCCACACTACGCTAAACTTGCATTTATAAATAACTAGCTTTTACCCGCGGCTTCGCTCGCGTCACAAAAGGATAAAAAGCCAATGTGACATATACCAATACACACAGCGCCATCTATACCAATACTTTTGTTTTCCCTCGGGAATATCAAATTTTTCCGGGATAAAAAGTACCGTATTATTTACTCCGGACTACTAACTTTACGTCTGCAAAAATTCATAGCAATCGGTTTAGTAGTTACGGCGTGAAAGTGGAAGAAACAAACAAACTCACTTTCCCATTTATAATAAATAGTAAGGATATAAAAAAACATCAAAGTAAAAAAAATACAATTTGAATTTTAATACTTTAACTGCCAAGTTTAAAATGGTGAAAGTCAAACCTCCACTAGCGTCAGGCACCGGTGACTGACGTGGCGCTCTAAGGGTTAATGGAGGGCAATTTTCAGTTTCACGTTGCATAAAGGATGTCGTGTATAAAAATGTAATCATATTACCTATCTATACTAATATTATAAAGCTGAAGAGTTTGTTTTTTTGTTTGTTTGAACGCGCTAATCTCCGAAACTACTGGTCCGATTTGAAAAATTCTTTCTGTGTCGGATAGCCCATTTATCGAGGAAGGCTATAGGTTATAAAATATTACGCTACGATTAATAGGCACCGAGCAGAGCGAGTGAAACCGCACGGAAGTAGCTAGTTTAATTATAAAAATATTACAGTCATGTTTGACGTCATGGTATTTATCTCACTTATATTTTGACATAACCTTTTGTACTTTACTCCAGTCCCTTTAGCTAAACGCCACTTTAGTGCTTGTCTACAGAGAGAGTAGAAAACTAAATGTATGGGGATGACACTGACAAGTGTCTAAATTTACGTCAATTCCATATAATTTGGTTTTCTATTCTAGGCATAAGCCGATAAACGAGCAGACGGATCACCTGATGGTAAGCAATCGGCGTTGCCCATGGACACTTGGAACACCAGAGGCGTTACAAGTGCGTCACCGGCTTTTTGGGAATTAGGAGTTTGAGGATCGTTGGGGATTCAGGAATTGGGGAGATTGGGGAAGGGGAGGGTATTAGGGCCTCTGGTAACCTCACTCACACGACGAAACACAACGCAAGCGTTGCTTGACATCGGTTTTCTGCTCGGCCGTGGTATCACTCCGGTCGAGCCGGCCCATTCGTACCGAAGCATGGCTCTCCCACACTTAAAATATGATGCGATAATGCGATAGTTATTCGTGCTTTGCACTCTGGTATATGCTTAGCGTCACCCGTAACCCCACAGAAGGTTAAGCAGTACCTGACTCATTTATTTGCCAAAATTTTGACAACCTTCGTCGCCATATTTGGACATTTAGATTTTTTATTAAAGGAACATTATGTAATTAAACGAATGCTACATTGATTTAGTGTGTAGGTGGACGCTTTAGACGACCCTGGATTCAATTCCTGGTATGGGTAAATTATTTTATTTATTATTTCCTTTAGTATAATACTTTCCTTGAAAAATTATTGAGTGTCTTGCAGTTTTTCTTAAAAGTTTCTTAGAAATAGCAATGGAGGGATTGTGTCCAGTATATGGCAATAGGCTCACCCCTTATTACATGGTACTCATAACATAAATAGTGAAAAGTGGGTGTTACATTGTAATGCACTTCTGTCTACCCCTTCGAAAAATTGACATCAGTCAATAAGTTTTTACTCTTTTTTATGGGATAAGCCAGTAAACGAGCAGACGGGTAACCTGATGGTAAGCAATTGGCGTCGCCCATGGACATCTGAAACACCAGAGGCGTTGCAAGTGCGTTACCGGCCTTTTGGGATTAGAAATTTGAGGATTGTTTTGGATTCAGGAATTGGGGAATGGTGGAGAGGTAATTGGGTCTCCGGTAACCTCACTCACACGATAAAACACAACGCAAGCGTTGTTTCACGTCGGTTTTCTGCTCGGCCGTGGTATCACTCCAGTCGAGCCGTATTCATTCCTTATAAGTCTGACAAGAAACTATAAAATTCTAAATACAATTCACCCTTGACCGATTTTTTTATGACTATAATAATAATACTACTAAATACCATGTAGTCATCTGTATATACCTACTTAAATATACATATTATATACAATGACAAAGTCGTTTGTTCGTATGTGTCATAACATCTGCAAAACTGCTAGACTGTGAGTGATGAGGTTTTTGGAAAAGTTGTTGTATTTAAGTAAATATATATGTATATAATATAGTTTTATTGATGACTGCCTCGTTGGCCGAGTGGTCGCAAGCGCGACTGCCGGACAAGGGGTCTCGGGTTCGATCCCCGGGTCGGGCAAAGTATTACTGGGGTTTTTAAAAAATCTCAGTAGTAGCACGGAGTCTGGAATTGTGCCCGGTATATGGCAATAGGCTCACCCCCTATTACATGGGACTCATAACATAAATAAACCTGTATGCCTGGCTTACACTGAGTGGGTGACCCTTTTAGCATAGGCATGTTGTCAGCGTCTCTTTTCTAATTCTTCTGTTTCAATTTTTCAACTCTTATATTTTTATTACTTCCACTGTCGCATCTTGATTGTCTTTTTTTATTTTTTATTTATGCTGCATCGTGCCGGGTGCTAAATAAATGTTTTTTCTTTCTTCTTTCTTTAAATAGTGAAAAGTGGGTGTTACATTGTACAGTGGCATAAGGTGCACCTCTGCCTACCCCTTCGCGGATAAAAGGCGTGATGTTATGTTATGTCTTATTGATGACTGCATCTGATATTACCAATGTAATCCTACTATTATAAATGTGAAAGTTTGTTTACTTGTTTGTATGTTTGTTACTTAATCACGCCAAAACGCCTGAAGGGATCGTGATGAAATTTGGAACAGGGATAGATGGTCTAGAATAACACACAGGCTATTTTATATCCCACGTAACGCGAGCGACGCTGTGAGCAGAAGCTATTATCTTATATACTACTAGCGGACCCAACAGACGTTGTCCTGCATATCCACTTGAATGTATAAACAAAAATTCATTCAAATTAGTTCAGCTGTTTAGGGTAAATAACCTAAACACCGACTGCAGCGCCATCTGCCGGGCTGATTTGTGAATCTAAACCATTCCCAGATCCCCTTGCACATACACAAAAAATTTCATCAAAATCGGTCCAGTCGTTTGAGAGAAGTTCAGTGACATACACACCCACAGAAGAATTATATATATATATATATATATATATATATATATATATATATAAAGATTAGATAAAGCGGAAGATTTTGTTTGTTTGTTTGAACGCGCTAATCTCCGTAACTACAAGTCTGATATCAATCATTCTTTTTGTGTTGGATAGTGCATTTATCGAGGATGGCTATAGGCTATAAAACATCACGCTACGACTAATAGGAGCTGAGCATAGCGTGTGAAACCGCGCGGAAGTAGCTAGTTTACATATAAATAGGCTTTGTCCTCTATGTACATACCTATGAGACAAACAATTTTTTTTCAATAAGTCCTTGATTTTTTGACCTATATTATATACCTATGTTAGCAAAAACTGATGTTTACGTTCAAGTAGGTAAACTATATATACAATACAATTATATAATAAGTTATATAATTAACAATAGATGTAACAAAAAGGTATTTTTTATATTAATATGATAATTTTACGATGTAGGTAAATATAGAGGTATAATCTTAGTTTTTACTTATATATTTTAATCGTAGGTACTATTATTTTGTTCATTTTTTTTGTTATCGTAATTTGACAATTACGTACAGAATTAATTTTAGTTTAATTTAACAAAAAGTTTTTTTCCTATTTATATTAATAGGTTTTTTTTTTATTTATGAGATAAGTCGGTAAACGAACAGACGTATCACCTGATGGTAAG